ATGAATGAATGAAAGAATGAATGAATGAGGGGAGGAAGGAAATGAATGAGACCCGCTCGCTTTGGGCCTTTGGGCAAGTTGCTCTCCCCTTTATTTCTCAGCACTAGTACTGTTATTAACAACAACCGAACAATTGCTAACGTTCATTGAGTCCCTGTACTAAGGGCTTTGTGTATGAAAACTCCATTAATCTTGGTAACAGCCTAAGAGTTAGGAACTCTTAGTGTAGTGTTTGTAAACTCTTCCCGGTAAATGATAAAAAGATATTTTAAAACCCCGAATCCATGCTCTTAACTGCTTTTCTTGTAAGATGGAGTTGATGATCACATCTCTTCCTGTGCTATTAGGCTCAGATCAAGAAATATATGTGTCTCCTCTCTCAACCTTTCCACCAGCCGGTGAGCAATTCCTGCTGGCACTGTCCTCAAAATATATACCAAATTGCTACCCCTTGTGCCACCTCCATCACCAACTTCTGGTCTAAGCCATTATTTTCTCATCTGGCATTATTACAGTGAGGTCCTAACTGGTAGTCCTGTTTCTGCTCTTGTGTGATCAGTCTTTTCTCAGTCCAGCGGCCAGAGAATCTTGCTAAAGGTCAGATCATGTTACCCTCTGCTGAAAACTTTTATGGCTTTCCACTTCACCCAGAGTTAAACCAAAATCCTTACAATCTTTTGCTTGTTTTCCCTTTATCTCTCAGATCTACCTATTTTCCACTGCTAACCCTGCTCCAGCCTCGCTGGCTTCCATGCTCTTGCCTCAAAGCCTTTGCATTTGCTGCACTCTACCAGAATGCTCGTCTTCAAAATATCCACATGGTTTACACTCAGCTCCTCCAAATCTTTGTTCAGATATCATTTTTTCAGTGAGGGCTTTCCTGACTACCCTGTTTTCAATTGCAATACCCCATATGCATTAATCCACATTGCTTTTTTTTCTCTATAGCACCTACCACCCGCTGTATGTTTTGTTTTCTTTCTCCTCTTCCTCCTTCCCACTAGAACACAAACTCCATTGTTTATTTTGTTCAGTACTATTTTTCCAGTGCCTAGAACAGTGCCTGGCACATAATTTTTTTTTTAACTAAATGAGTAAACTGGAAACTACTAAAGACATTTGGGGACTATTAATAGTGTAACAGTCCTTCTCTCTTAAAGAATATCAGCCTGGGTTTTATTGAATTGTCCAAGCCTAGGCTTAGTGTCGAGACCATAATCAAAACTACTTTCCTGGGTAATATGTACCCTGCAGGGTGGTTGGGAAGCACAGTTCAGTCATTCATTAAATGAGCTAGAGACTGGGAAAACAGTGTTGAATGACACAAGCAGGGTCCCTGCACTCACAAGGCTGCTTTTCTACTGGGGAAAAAGAACAAAGTATGTAAACAAATACATAAGGAAGGTAATTTCAGGTAGTGGTAAGTACTATGACGAAGTACAGTAGGATTAATGGAATACAGAGGGGAGGTGTGGTGCTGCTTGAGTTTGAGTGATCAAGGAAAGACTTTCTGAAGAGGAAACATTGGAAGGAGCTAAACACGGGAAGATCAAGGGAAGAGGATTCTGATCAGGAGCAACAACAAATGTAAAGATCCTGAGACAGAAATGAGCTTAACATGTTTGAGCAATTAAAAGTTGGCTATGGGGGGGTGCCTGGGTGGCTCAGCTGGTTAAGCAACTGCCTTCAGCTCAGGTCATGATCCTGGAGTCCCAGGATCGAGTCCTCCATCAGGCTCCCTGCTCAGCAGGAAGTCTGCTTCTCCCTCTGACCCTACCCCCCCCATGTTCTCTCTCTCTCAATTAAATAAAATCTTTTAAAAAAAAAAGTTGGATATGGGACAGGTGGAAAGTGAGGGAGTAGTTAGTAAATGGGTAGACACTGGACACTTCAGCAGGAGGGGATTAAATTAGAGGCATAAGTTAATATGAGTAGAGTTGCCATTCTCTAAATCAGGAGAAATCTACTCAATTATTGTTTCCCATGTCTTTTGCATCCTCCTTTGCCTATATGTAGTGACTACCCTGTACTTCTGTCTTTTATTTAGGGACCTCCAAGGTGTTCCTCCCTTCAAGCCCCAATCATGCTGCTCTCAGGACATGAAGGGGAAGTGTACTGCTGCAAGTTTCACCCCAATGGATCCACCCTAGCATCTGCAGGATTTGATCGACTGATACGTAAGAGATAGTTTTTGAAGTCGGAGTAATTGCTCTCTGCTAAAAAACCTTTAATGCCACAAAAGGTATCAGTCTGAATTGGTCATATCACAAGCTACATAGCTAACATGCTAAAAGAGTATAATAAGAATGTTGAATGATCTTGGGTATAGACCTCAAGGTCCATGTGGTAAATACAGAAGGGGTTATGTTACTAGTCGGAAAGTGAGTTACCGTACTTTGAGAATATCCTCCTCATGGAGACAAATCTTGAGCTGATGTAGCCAGACAGGAGATCTAGGCATACTGGGTTAATGGAAGTAATGAGGAGAGAAATAGCTTTTCCTTTTCCCAAAGATGTGAGGCCTTCATCTTGATACACTCATAGAATCCTAGCATATGGGAAAGAAGGGTGGGGAGGACCCTAAAGTGGCAACTCACTTGGATAATCTACTTGTAGATCATTAGGATCTGTATCCAAGTGGTGCCTGGCTGGCTCAGTCAGTAGAGCATACAACTCTTGATCTTGGGGTTGTGGGTTCAAGCCCCATGTTGGGTGTAGAGATTCCTCAAAAATAAAATCTTAAAAAAAAAAAAAAAGATTTCAGGGCAGCTGGCTAGCTCAGTCAGCAGAGCATGCAACTCTTGATCTTGGGGCTGTGAGTTGGGCATGGAGCCTACTTAAAATAAAGATTTAAAAAAATTAGGGGCTCCTGGCTAGCTCAGTTGGTGGAGCACGTAACTCTTGATCTCAGGGTTGTGAGTTCAAGCCCCACATTGGGTGTAGAGATTGCTTAAAAATAAAATCTTAAAAAAAAAAAAAGATCTACATCCTGATTCTCAGCTGCTAGTTGGCAATACCCATTTTTGAGAAATAAATTGAAAAAAAAAAATCATTTTAGAAGAGTCGTGAGAAAAAACAAGAGAAAAGATATCAAGAGCATATGACTGCCTTTTATGCTGGCATCATTTGTTGCATTGTGAAATGAAGTGAGTCATTTAGCTGTTTGCTTATAAGTCTGGACCTCCGGGTGGATGATAGCTGTCTTTGCTGTCTTGATTTAGGTGTTCTAGTTCTGTGATCCTTAAGCTTAACGGTGGCCAAGCATCTGGAAGACTTGCAGTGTTTGCAGAACATCCTTGAATCGATAAGCTTATTTCATCAAACAAAAAACAGTTCATCAACCGAAAAATAATTACTATGTTTATGTACCCTATGTACAGAGGTGCTCCTTAATAACACTCATTAAACTTCATTCCTTGCTAGACCAAGTTCCCTGAGGACAGGAACTGTGTCTATTCATTTATCCCATTTTATCCTAGCACCTGGCATGTTATAGGTATATGGTACATGTGGAATGAGTAAATGTAGTATAAAGTCATTGCCGTGTGACCTTCCAAGTCAGTTCCAGCTTCCTGGGTTTTCTGTAAGTGCTGTCATTTTGCAGTCTCTCTATACTCAACCAACATGTAGTAGTGAGTACCAACTTTTTTAACATTAGAGCAAAACGCTTAAGATTTAAAAAATTATATGTATTTTTTTTTTTTAAAGATTTTATTATTTGAGAGAGAGCACGGACGGGGAAGGGCAGAGGGAGAAGCAGACTTCCCACTGAGCGGGGAACCCGACGTGGGTTTTAATCCCAGGACCCCAGGATCATGAACTGAGTAAAACGCAGATGCTTAGCTGACTGAGCTACCCAGGCACCCCCCAAAATTATATCTATTAACTAATTTTTGTCAACCTTACGAAATATGAAAATACTGCACTATTTTTATTTTTAGTGTCAGGAAAATTGGTCCAGTCAGTAGAGCCAATAGTGTTCCAAGGGAGTGTAATCTCAAAACTGTTGTGGTAAATTTTTAAGTACCTTTTCTATGGCTGATGATGAGTTTTCTTTTGTGTAGTAATGATCACAGAACCCCTGTCTTCCTAACAGTGTTGTGGAATGTCTATGGTGACTGTGATAACTATGCTACATTGAAGGGACACAGTGGGGCAGTGATGGAGCTGCATTATAACACTGATGGCGGGTGAGTAAGTAGGCTGAATAATGGAATGACAGCTGCTTCTCATACTAATTTTTCTTGACATCCTTTCATATTTCATCCTTAAGTTTTCTCTCAGGAGACTTTGCTGTCAAACACTACCACATTTTGGGCAGCTACTTTATTATCCTATCACTGTCAACCCAATTTCTTGTTTCATGTATGCATTTGTAAATACATCTCTGTCATCTAACATCAGCAGCCCAGACAAATTTCTTTCTTTAAGACATAAAACAAAATGTAATTTTATATGCAGAAATCAGCTATTTTTACTATACAAGCAATAAAATATTTATTTTGAGAAACTCAAAAACATATAAATAAAAAAATAGCCCATATTCCTACCACTCCAAAGATAATCACTGTTAATATTTTGATACGTTTTTCTCAAGTTTTTTTCCTACTTAAGGCCGTTTGGTTTTACATGTACATTAGAGGCTCACGTATGATCTTTTCTGCTGCTTTTTTTCCTTTAACATTCACCTAATGTATCATTTATTATAACATACATTTATCATAAACATTTTAATGATCGCATAATGAATTACAGTAACTATATGTAATATAGAAATGTGATTATACAAAGTTAATTAGTCCTAGTAGGTATTTCACTAAACATTCATTATTTTATAACTCTGATCTCTAAAATCATAAGGTCCCTGAATCAACTGGTACATAGCCTTGTATACATTTTTCCTGTTAATATTTGAGTAAAGATAGCCTTATAAAATCAATTATAACTTAGAAATCATTGTCAGGGGTGCCCAGCTGGCTCAGTCCTAGGAGCATGTGATTCTTGAGCTCAGGGTCATGTGTTTAAGCCCCTTGTTGGGTGTAGAGATTACTTAATAAAACTTTAAAAAAAAATCATTTTCAGAGATGAAATAAAAACTTGGAATTTTAGAGAAAGGGTTAAAGTTACTGAGTCACTGGGTCAGGAATTGCCACAGTCTATCTTCCCTCTGTAGCAGGGAGTGATTAAACATTTCCAGATGGGAAAGTGTCTAAAGCGTTGTCTATCAAGGAGGAAGATATTGAGAAAACTACTGTATTAGGTTGGAATATATCATGGGGACTGACAGAAGGACATTTTTTACATTTCCATGGGGTAGACCTTGTAACCCCGTCTAGAGCACCAGTAGGATTTTGGTATGTAGGGTGAGGCATGCCTGCATCATGTGTCAGACTGTCAAGAGTACAACGTGTCAGTGGCCTTAAAGAGTTCGGCACATTTTGGCACGTGGGGAGGATGGATGGTTATTGTTCATCTTCACTTACTTATTTTTTGTTCTTCTTGTAGTATGCTCTTCTCCGCATCCACAGATAAAACTGTGGCAGTGTGGGATAGTGAAACAGGCGAGAGGGTTAAAAGGCTGAAAGGACACACTTCCTTTGTGAATTCCTGTTATCCGGCCAGGAGGGGCCCCCAGCTTGTCTGCACTGGCAGCGATGACGGGACAGTTAAGGTGGGTGTTGTCTGTCTGTATGTTGCAGTTTCTGAGGTTCCATAATGTGAACTTACTTTGCCTTCCACTATGGCGTAGCCTCTTCTCCACAACTTTGTTTTAGCAGTCATTTCCCAAAACAGAGGTCTTTTTATTTTTACCTTTTTTTAAGATTTTTTTTTTAAATTTTAGGGAGCGAGCGAGTGGCGGGGGTGGGGGGGGAGCAGATTGGGAGGGAGAGGGACAAGTAGACTCCATGCTGCATGTGAAGCCCAATGCAGGGCTTAGTCTCACAACCCTGAGATCATGACCTGAGCCGAAACCAAGAGTCAGACACTCAACCAACTGGGCCACCCAGGCGCCCCCAAAAAATGAGGTCTTTTTAAATAATGGTCAGTATTTTTAAGTATCTTGTAGAATGTTAGAACCATGTTGAACCATTGTGACGTGGAATGAAATGGACCATCTGAGTTGGATTCTTGACTGAGCTGTTTACGTAATTATGTGATCTCAGGCAGTTCACTTTTCTGATCCTGTTTCTCAGTCTTTAGAACAGTGACAGTAATATACATGTCTTATCAAGCTGTTGTAAAAGTATAGTCACTATATGAAAAGATCAGTATATGGTTTAGCAACAAGGTCATTTAGTCCAGTGATTTCCAACTTGTCTTCATGTCAGACTACCTGAAGAACCTATTAAAAATACCCAGATTTGGGGCGCCTGGGTGGCTCAGTCATTAAGCGTCTGCCTGTGGCTCAGGTCATGATCCCAGAGTCCTGGGATCGAGCCCCACATTGGGCTTCCAGCTCCGCGGGAAGCCTGCTCCTCCCTCTCCCTCTGCCCCTGCTTGTGTTCCCTCTCTCACTGTCTCTCTCTCTCTCTCTCTCTGTGTCAAATAAATAAATAAAATCTTTAAAAATAATAATAATAATACCCAGATTCGGGATGCCTCAGTCGGTCAAGCATGTGCCTTCAGCTCAGGTCATGATCCCAAGGTCCTGGGATCAAGTCCCGCATCAGGCTCCTTGCTCAGCAGGGAGCCTGCTTCTTCCTCTGCCTGCCGCTCCCCCTGCTTATGCTGTCTCTGTCTCTCTGACAAATAAATAAAATCTTAAAAAAAAAAAACACCCAGATTCTAGTTCAGTAGGTCTAGAATGGGAATTTTTGTTTTTAAATTAAGACTTTTTTTAGAGCAGTTTTAGGTTCACAGCAAAATTGAGGGGAAAATACAGAGATTTCCCATATACCCAGTGCCCCCACTCATGCACAGTCTCTCCCATGATCCCCCACCAGAGTGGTATATTCTTTTACAATTGATAAACCTACATTGACACATCATGATCACCCAAGTCCATAGTTTATATTAGGGTTCACAGTGAGTGTTATACATTCTGTGGTTTGGGACAAACATATAATGACATGTATCCGTCACAGCGGTATCATACAGAGTATTTTTGCTGCCGTAAAAATCCTCTGTGCTCCTTCTATTCATCCCTCCCACCCCTGACAACCACTGATATTTTTACTGTCTCCATAGTTTTGCCTTTTAAGATTGGTTTCTTTTACTTAGTGATATGCATTTTAAGATTCTTCCATTTCATACAGACAGCCTCTCCTCTGCTGTCCTGCCCACAGTTACCTTGCAGTGTATTCAATAAACTTCTGTCTCCTTTAAGAAAAAAAAAAAAAAAGATTCTTCCACGTCTTTCCGTGGCTTGGTAGCTCATTTGTTTTTAGTGCCAAATAATATTCCATCGTCTGGATGTACCACAGTTTATTTATCCATTCACTACTAAAGGACATCTCGGTTGCTTCCCAGAGTTGGCAATTATGAATAAAGTTGCTATAAACATCCATGTGGGAGTTTTGTGTGGACCTAAGTTTTTCAACTCTTTTGAGTAAATACTGAGGACCACGATTGCTAGATCATATGGTACGAGCATATTTAGTTTTTAGAAACCACCGATCTGGGTGCCTGGCTGGCTCAGATGATGGAGTATGCAACTCTTGATCCCGGGGTTGTAAGTTTTTTGGTTTTTTGTTTGTTTTTAGAGATTTTATTTATTTATTTGAGACAGAGAATAAGCAGGGAGGAGAGTAAAGCAGGGAAGGAGGGAGAAGCAGACTCCCCGCTGAGCAGAAAGCCCAATGTGGGGCTAGATATCAGGACCCTGAGATCATGACCTGAGCTGAAGGCAGCTGCTTAACCAACTGAGCCTCCCAGGCACCCCTTGGGGTTGTAAGTTTGAGCCCCGCATTGGGTGTAGTGATTAGTTAAAAATAAAATCTTAAAGAAAAAAGAAACCACGAATCTGTCTTCCAAAGTAGCTGTACCATTTTGCATTCCCACCAGCAATGAATGAGAATCCCTGTTACTGCACATCCTCATTTGGTGGTGTCAGTGCTTCAGATTTTGGCTTCTCTAATAGGTATGTAGTGGTACATCACTGTTCATTTAATTTACATTTTCCTGATGACATATGATCTGAAGCATCTCTTCATATGCTTTTTGTCATCTATGTATCTTCCTTAGTGAGGTGTCTGTTAAGATCTTTAGCTCATTTTTTTTTTTAAGATTTTATTTATTTATTTGTCAGAGAGAGGAAGAGGGAGAGAGCACAAGCAGGGGGAGCGGCAGGGAGAGGGAGAAGCAGGCTCGCCACTGAGCAGGGAGCCCAACATGGGGCTTGATCCCAGGATCCTGAGATCACAACCCGAGCCGAAGGCAGACGCTTAACCGACTGAGCCGCCCAAGCGCCCCTTTAGCTCATTTTTTAATCATGTTGTTTGTTTTCTTATTGTTGAGTTTTAAGAGTTCTTTGTACATTTTGGATAATAGTCCCTTATCAGATATACAAATATTTTCTCCCTGTCCTGTGGTTTATCTTCTCATTCTCTTGACATTGTCTTTCACAGGCAGAAGTTTTTAGTTTTAATGAAGTCCAGTTTATCATTTATTTCTTTCATGGATTGTGCCTTTGGTGTTGTATCTAAAAAGTCATTGCCATACCCAAGGTCATCTGTGTTTTCTTCTGTTACCTTCTAGAAGTTGTACTTAACATTTAGGTGTGTGATCCATTTTGAGTAAATTTTTGTGAAAGGTGCAAGGTCTGTGTCTAGATGCATGTTTTTTGCCTGTGGATGTCCAGTTGTTCCAGTGCCATTGGTTGAAGACACTCATTTGCTCCATTGCCTTTGCTCCTTTGTCAAAGATCAGTTGACTGTATTTATGGGGGTCTATTTCTGGGGTCTATTCTCTTCCATTGATGTATTCTTTCTCCAATACCACACTGTCTTGATTGCTTTAGCTTTATAGTAAATCTTTTTTTTTTTAACTTTTTTTTTAAAGATTTTATTTATTTATTTGACAGAGAGAGACACAGCTAGAGAGGGAACACAAGCAGGGGGAGTGGGAGAGGGAGAGGCAGGCTTCTTGCTGAGCAGAGAGCCCGATGCGGGGCTTGATCCCAGAACCCTGAGATCATGACCCAAGCCGAAGGCAGATGCCTAACAACTGAGCCACCCAGGCGCCCCCAAAAAATGAGGTCTTTTTAAATAATGGTCAGTATTTTTAAGTATCTTGTAGAATGTTAGAACCATGTTGAACCATTGT